AGTCTAAATAGAATGTAATTACAGATAGTCATGTGAAGTAGATTTTATGTAAAAATGACTTTCCAGTTGTGTTTTATTTTTATTTTATTTTTTATTTTATGATTATTTTAACCATTTGTTTCCCATCTGTCAGGTGTCTTCCTAACTCAGGACTTGTGATTCAGTGTCCATCCTTTAGGACCCAACCCACCCCAATAAGGTATGTGTTGTGACCCCATACTTCTCCCCTTTGCATTGACTCAGCCAAACAAATATTTACTATTTTAAATTGAGCTTAAATCTGTTTACAGATTCTCTTCTCTGTGCATCAGCTGTCTGTGTCTCTTCTGTGCATCAGCTCTCTGTCTCTCTTCTCTGTGCATCAGCTCTCTGTGTCTCTCTTCTGTGTCTCAGCTCTCTGTGTCTCTTCTCTGTGTCTCATCTGTCCCTCTTCTCTCTGTGTCTCAGCTGTCTGTCTCTCGTCTCTGTGTCTCAGCTCTCTGTATCTCAGCTGTCTCTCTTCTCTCTGTGTCTCAGCTGTCTGTCTCTCTTCTCTCTGTGTCTCAGCTGTCTGTCTCTCTTCTCTTGTCTCAGCTGTCTGTCTCTCGTCTCTGTGTCTTAGCTGTCAGTCTCTGTGTCTCAGCTGTCAGTCTCTCTTCTCTCAGGACTGTCTCTCTCTCTCTCTTTTCCTTTGCCATCTCACCCCACAGCATGCTCTCTCTCACTCTTTCTCAATCTGACAGTAAAATTAAATGCCATCAGCTGACAAATGCTGTTTTTGCAGAGAAAGTTTTACCACTTTTCCTAAAATTGCAGTGTAATTTGCTTGATTTTTTGCTGATTATTTAGTTTGAAGATTTGCCATGTTATCAATAATCTATTGGGAATGAAACATCGGCTTGTGAAATTTTAATTTCATTGCATTTTGTTCGTATTCTGAAAAAAAAATCGAAAGTCTTCTTGTCCTGATGCATCTCAGAAATCCAGGTAAAAAATCAAAAGGAAAACAATTGTATAGGTCCTCTGGACCTATACAGTGCAGTATACAGTACCTCTACAGTGTCATGGGTTGTAAAATTCTTGATTATGTTGCGCACCGTGGACAAAGGAACATCAAGATCTCTGGAGATGGACCTTGAGATTGTTGATATTTTTCCACAATTTTGGTTCTCAAGTCCCCAGACAGTTCTCTTCTCCTCTTTCTGTTCTCCATGCTTAGTGTGGCACACACAAGACACACAACGCAAAGATTGATTCAACTTCTCTCCTTTTTATCTGGTTTCAGGTGTGATTTTTTAATTGCCCACACCTGTTACTTATCACAGGTGAGTTTGAATGTGCATCACATACTTGAAACAAAGTTATTTTCCCTCAATTTTGAAAAGGTGCCAATAATTTTGTCCAGCCCATTTTTGGAGTTTTGTGTAAAATTATGTCAAATTTGCCTTTTTTTTTTTCCCCCTCTGTTTTTTGTGTTGTTCCAATTCACACAAAGGAAATAAACATGTGTATAACAAAACATGTGTATTTGCAATTATTTTCTAGGAGAAATACTTAATTTTCTGATAAAAAATCAGGGGTCCCAACACTTTTGGCCATGACTGTATAAGTACAGTCCATTTACCATGGCGGGGGAAGATGCCGGACAGACCCGGTAGACCCAAGTGTGTAGTGAGTGTTTGCTGGGGACGCCTGGCAGAGGAACCCGTCAGACAGATCTTCAACTCACACCTCCTGGAGAACTTCAACCTCATCCCAGTTTATCCCAGTTGAGGTGGGGGACAGAGTCCGAGTGGGCCATGTTCCACGCCTCAATTGTTGAAGCAGCTGCCTTAAGCTGTGGCTGCAAGGTYGTCAGTGCTTCTCGCGGTGGAGTCCTATCTGGCCTTGTTGGCTGGTAGGACTCCAGAGGCCGCTGAGGAGTATCRGCAGGCCAAGCAGGCCGCAGCCCTGGCTGTTGCTGTGGCAAAAGCTCGGATGTGGGAGGAGTTTGGTGAGGACTTGGACAAAGACTCTCGATCAGCTCCAAGGAGATTCTGGCAAACTATCCGAGCAGAGGTGGGGGAAGCAGCACTTGACTAACACTGTGCTCAGTGAAGGTGGGGTGCTGTTGACCTCAACCAGTGATGTCATCAGGAGGTGGAAGGAATATTTCTGGGACCTTCTCAATCTCACCAGCACGTCTTCTATGGAGGAAGCAGAGTCTGAGGACTTCGGGGCTGGTCTGTCCATAACAAGTTGAAGTCACTGGGGTGGTTAAAAAACTCCATGGCGTCACGGCTCCAGGGGTGGATGAGATCCACCCTGATTTCCTCAAGGCTCTGGATGTTGTGGGGCTGTCCTGGTTGACATGCCTTTGCAACATTGTATGAACATCAGTGGCAGTGCCACTGGATTGGCAGACTGGGGTRGTGGTTCCTCTTTTTAAAAAGGGGGACTGGAGGGTGTGCTCCAATTACAGGGGCATCATTCTCCTTAGCCTCCCCAGTAAGGTCTTTTTAGGKGTACYGGAGAAGAGAGTCCGATCGATAGTCGAACCTCAGATTCTGGAGGAACAACRTGGGTTCTGTMCTKGSTKTGGAACACTGGATCAACTCTTTACCCTCACTAGGATCCTCGAGGGGTCATGGGAGTTTGCTAATCCAGTCTACGTGTTTTGCGGACTTGGAGAAGGCATTCGATCATGTTCCTCGAGGTACACTGTGGGGGGTGCTACGYGAGTACGGGATTGTGGGTCAGTTGTTACGGGCCATTCAGTCTCTATRCAAGCRGTGCAAGAGTTTGGTTCACATTGCTRGTAGTAAGTCGGACCCCTTCAGAGTAAAAGTTGGACTCCGCCAGGGYTGCCCTTTGTCAMTGATTCTGTTCATAACTTACGTGGACAGAATTTCTCAATGCAGCCAGGGGGCGAAGGGAGTCCGGTTCAGGGGCCTCAGGATTTCATCTCTGCTGTTTGCAGATGACGTGCTTCTGTTGGTGATTCCATAAGTTTTGCCAGGGGTTGTACATGAGGCCMCTGATCACCATTAAAGAACATGCACTTTCAGTTCATGGCACTGTTTGCAAGCTCCCAACAGCCTGAGGATGAAGGCTCAACTGGACAGTGTAATTACAGCATTGTTCACTCTAACAATGAGACAAGGAACAAACCCGGTTCTGTCGCTCCAAGTCCCTGAGCAGGAAACTACATCATGCTTTGTGGAGGAGGGAGTAGTCAGTTTGTAGGTGTCATTATTCTATTTGCATTACTAACAACAATTAGATGTCTCATTCAACTTTCAGTCATTATTTTAATGCCATTCATTGCCCAGTACATTATGGTCAGATTAATGGAATATAAATAAATGTGACCATTTTAAAAAGTGATACTGATATTTTTGATAGTCACATAAAAGAAAAACCTCCAGCTGCATATTCTACCACTTCTACTGTTGTCAGGTCACAGAGGTAACAGGTCCAGGAGAGAAAACTGTAGAGTGGTTTCTTATCTCAGCCACTTCACACTCGGCCATGAAATGGCCTCAGTGCACGCTTAAGGTCATGGCCCAAAGACACCAACAGAATCATCTGCAAATAKAGATGAGACCCTGTGATTCCTAATCCAGACACCCTAATCTCCACAGCTCTGCCTTAAGATCCTTTCCATGAACATCCCAAACAAGATCTGAGACAGAGGACAGTCCTGGTTGAGAGTAATCTGAACCAAAAACAAGCTGGACTTTGGRCCCAGAATGCAGACACAGCTCCTGTTTTGGCTATCCCAGAGGTGAGTTGAAGACTGCAGACAGAAGATCCACCAAATGTTTCCAGTTCACCCTATGGAGGTCTACATAACAACTGTGAGTCTTGACCACATGGCCATGTGATCTGCTGTAGCAGCTAACAAAATAATAGGAAGAAAATTTTCAAACAATCTCAGGACACAAGGATAAGGCTGGTCAAAATGAAGCAATAACTTTATTGCAGCAAACATGAACATCTGGCAGTTGTGTAGTTCTTGTGTTTTATAGTTGACAATTGTTTTTCTTTTGCACAACAAGGCAGACAAGATAAGACAAAGTTAATTGTCAATAACGAAAAACATTTACCACTCACATGAATATGCTCTAAATAAACTTTAATATCTTTAAAACTGACTTTAGGATTCTAATTTCAATTGTTTTCAAAACATTATATTTTCGTACTTATCTCAAGTAGGCCCTCAAATTTGTGCTCCAGTTACCATATATCTGTTTTAGWACTTTACAAATAGTCAATGCAATAAGTAAACAGTGCCTTGTGATTGYAAAAATGTAAAACAGAAACTTAAATTGGATGTTAAGTGTAACACAAGTAGTAGCATAAGGCACCAAGTTCAATCAAGTTTAGTCTGTTACAAAGTTGAAACAATTTATCTTAACAATGAAGCCAAATGAACTCAGCAGTACAACCAATTCAAAAGATATTTAAAGTAAAAAAACAAACAAAAAAACTTCACTTAAAATGCTTTCTTTGGGAATACAGAAAGACATTGGCAAACATGCACAGGACTTTTAGTGTTCATAAAAAAACACAAACTGGATATAAATAATGTCACTGCAAATCACACTTAGCAAAAGATTGTTCAAACAAATACGTCGTAGTGTTTACTGAGGCATCTGAGCGCATTTTCATTAGACCGAAATTAGAAGATGCTTTTCCTGACGCATCGACTCCACTGAAAACTAAATCAACTGTTTTCTGCCTCATTCTCCCAACGCTGAAAAAACTAATCATACATTAGTGTTCAAAATGACATCCAAAAAATGCCTGCCTTATCATGTTAAATGCAAAAGTAAAAAAAAAATTAACTGTAGTGTGGACAAACAATCCAAGTACATTGAAAACAAACAATATTAGTATTTCAGTAGATTTCTACCTTTCATCTRACTCAAACTGAAGTGATTGACAAGTTCTGATTACTAAAGAACATTTTTCTTTTGTTTACATTTTCTCTTCCCTAAATGCCTGCCTTTTTATATTATATCCTGTGGTCATATTTGGTCATGTTAGTTTGTGAAACAGACCACCAGATGCCTTAAAAAGTAGTCCTTAAAGTAAGACAACTGCACTCTACGTGTACTGTACTGAAAAACTAATTTTTAAACCATAGCTATAAAGATAAAAAGATGAACTTGTATAAAATGTGAAAGCAATAAAGCCTGTATTTGCACTTACTGTTTTGAAGACTAATGGGYCACAAAGGTCCATATTTTAGGGATTGCCTTAAGCTATAATTTTGGAGCAATTTGGTGAATTATTGACAGTTGGCTTCATTTTGTTTCCATTTTACCAGGTTAACATAAAGCATTGTGAGGCACGTGTTTCTGTGGACAAAAGAAAACTTGTAAGGCCCTTCAGTGATATCTGGTTAAGGTCCAGAAGCAGCTCCTTCCTGCGAAGTGGCTGGTTGGTTGGCATCTTTGTGAAACGAGGTCTCCTTGTAGATGAACCAGCAGTTACCTGCCCACAGGATCAAGTTCAAAAATCCAAAAATCTACAGGGAGATACAAAAACTCATTAGAATATGCCAGCAAACTGACCAGATTTTATTAAAACATGGTATTAAAATAAGCACAAATAAGAGCGTTGGTGCAGATTATCAATCAGAAAGGCAACAGCAATCCTAAGAGATCTCATCCARAAATATTTTCTACGCTCTTTAATGCAGTGCCTCCCGATGGCCCTAAAATACAACAGAATAAAATAGAATAGTTTTTATTGTCATTGCATCAGCCTGTACAATGAAACTGAACATAGAAATACATGTAGAACAACAGCAATACAGTTCATACACAGAGACAAAACTAATAAAGTAGTTACTGCACTTGGGATGTTTGGCTGGTGTTCAGAGTCTGGATGTTCCAATTCCAATTATTTGATTTTTTTTTTTTCATTAATTTTATTCTGTCCTTTGTTGTTTGTTTTTATTGTACACTTTGGGTGGCCTTCTTGCTTTTTAAAATGCTTTATAAATATAGTGGTATGTTATAATTCAGAGTGMTGTAGAACTAACAGTTCTGCTAAAACGTGAAAGCAAATGAATAAGACAAACTTTTGAATGATTTTCAAGGTAAATTGTCTAACTTTTCCTAGCATCAAACTTCAGAACAGTCTGTATCTCAACAGCCTCTTTCATAAGTCAAATCAGCGAAATCGCCACACAGACCGGCTCAGCTTTGTACACATTCATAAATGAACCCAGCAGTGTGGAACCAAAAGAGGCGCAGAGCAGAACTCAGCTGGGCTGAAGTGGAGCRCCTGTGTGACCCATGTCTGCTGCCTCGTTTCAAACAAAACAAACTGAATTAATTCACTTTAGTGATTCTGTGGCGGTTAAATATTTTAACACTAACTACAAAGTTGCTGTTTCATGTCATTTTTAATATTCCCTCTGTAATAAATCTGTTGGTTAGATCCTAGGGTCGCTCACTGATATCAGCTCGTTTTCTGAGCGCGGAACCACAGGTTGTTTTTTCACATTTACATGGACATAATTAATCAGATTAAACGGCCATTCTGAATAAAAATGTGTCATGTAAACACCCCATTCAGATTATTCTGACCCGATTCAGCTCGATCCGAATGAATATGTAATCAAAACGAGAGAGGTGGTTTATGCCGATTGATAATCTGAACAGCATGCATGTAAACACTTAATCTGATCATTTTATTCTGATTGTAGAAAATGGATCTGACTGTGTATGTCTGCTGACTTTCATCCATTGGTTTCTGCTCTTTTGTGGAGGGAGGGACGGCAGTGCTGTAGTTTCCAGCAGCAAAGAACTTTTCCTCCTGTTCKCTCATTCAGTAAAGAAGGAAGACACACAGCCTGCGCCGCTTCACAAAAAATAAAAAGTCTGTTCGTCACCTGCAGCTGAACCAGGGAGTAACGTCCCCACCATTATTAAAACCTGTCACAGGTCCATTCTGAGCTCAGAAGCTGTTTGTTTATGTTCATCACGGAAGTAGAACTTTTTTCTGTTTTTTAAGGGAAAGTTAGCAACTGTGCATGTCAATGTTTCTATTCAGAATAAAAGCCTGGTGCATGTAAACACTCATGATCTGATTGTGCCCATGTAAACGATGCATACAGATTATTTAATCAGAATACATTTCAATCTGATCAAAGAATTTTGCTCATGTAAACATAGAAAGTGAATCTGCCGGGCTCAGTCCCGGCTCTGATACTACCTCTGCTYGCAGCTCAGGGGCGCATCAGAGGCGGGTTCATTCGTATTTTTTCTGAATGCTCGTCGGAGGAGGACGCATCAGTCCTGGACTGAGCTGTCTTATGAATGAGGCTTATGTGACTTCCTCCATTGAGCTTTATAACCACGGCACAAACAGCCCTCCCTATGTGAAGGCAGGCCATGAACAATCTAAAATATTGTGCAAATGAACATAATACTGCAAGTTATATCATTAATATGAGATGGACACACAGGCAGAAGGAGCACATGAGGCACAGCCAACGACAGCTACTTTTTGCATAGTTAAACCATTAGCTATTCACCTTTACCAGCGTTTTCAATAAAAATATTTTGTTGTTGCACATTTTAAAGTAAAGTAGATGACATAAAACCCTGGCTCAACCCATTATTCAAACAATTTGGAATTTACCTGCAAAATAGTAAGCTAGCTTAAATGTAAGATTCCCTCTCACTTCACTAGTGTCGGGCAAAATCATACCGTGTGCTATTAATCATCAGAAAAACTGATTATTTTTGGCACTTGATGATCAATGTAATTAATGTCACCAGGCAGACTGACTGGAGATTTCCCCGGTCCGTCCGCTTGATGCTTCTCTCCGCTTCAAATAAACATTTTTTAAAAAGTTCTGTAATTTATTCATCATAACTCTGGTTTTACTTGGTCTATCAACACGATTTAAAATTTGATGTAAAGCCTGAAGTCTGTACTGTTGACACCATGAGGAACACATTTTTACGAAGAGTAAATCTTTTCCACTGCAGTGATTTAAACTGGTCATGTAACCGGGACATGCAGGGGTCCTGGGGATTAATCATAATATTAATATTTAACAGCTAAATACCACAATTAATCCTGATTTTTTTTTTGCCAATATCACCCAACCCTACTACTAAGGCTTACTTTTTACATGGATTGAAAAAACTGCCTCTCCCATTGTAAAAAGCTACAGGTCCTGCTTGCAAACCATGTGAAGCTACTTGAGGATTTAGTCCTCATTTCAAATCATGTTTTGTATCTAGTGTTTTAGAGCCAGAGATCATTACAACAGCATGCTGTTTTCTCCTGCTCACCATGTGCCACTAGCAAGACAACGTTACTTGCTCAAAGTAGGTCTGCTTCACAGCTCTGCTGGCGGACACCGCCTGTCCAGTGGCGGCTCACACACTGGTATAATGAAAAGGAGCAAACCCACTGAGTGGCAGCCAGGCTTTCTGAGACTTCATTAAAGGCTAAATGATCGCTCTCCATTTACAGTGGTTTGCAAAAGTATTCATACCCCTTGAACTTTTCCATATTTTGTCACATTACAACCACAAACATAAATATATTTCACTGGAATTTAATG